AAAAAAATCAATACTGCCCCTCCACATAGAAGGGACTCTGCCACCCACCTATACAGGCACATCTGGGTAAAACCTGGCAACTAACATACAAGGCAAAACTACATGTTAACTGAGGACTAGAAATCAAGGTGACTAATACCACAGCCCTTTGAAGTTGCAAGGGATGAGGAGATCTAAGGTGGGCAAACTCTTATTATCAGAAACAGGAGTTGGCTGAGACATCAGGGCTAACCCCATGCTTGCATTACAGACTGTCAGGATCCTTGTTTTACATTGTGTGTGAAAGCTGCTGGCTTCTGCATTATCACATACAGCTGTGCTGAGAGCATTGTGCTGCTGTAGGTTCATTATTTACCCAGAAGGAAGAGTCTGTCACCTATTGATATCACACAAGTTATTTGTGGCCACTGAAAAATGTTGAATTGATGGGGTCTGAATGACCAGAGTGGAAGTAGCCCTCCTGCTTTATGATGCTGAACATACAAAACAAAACACACAGGCAAAGGAATCTACTGTTATTTCTACTACTCCTAGTATCAACCCATGACAATACAGCTGAATGGCTATAAATCTGGAGCTTTTTATTGCCAGAGTGCCCGTGAGTCATTGCACCTCTGGTAAGCAAAATTGCATGAGATTGGATCTATTCTAAAAAACATTCTGGGTCATAGATCACATGCAGCAAAGCACCAAGCCTTGAATTGGCAATGGTAGTTCATCTTTTATGAGGCAAGGAGAAAAAGGATATGCTACGCACTCCATCCCATTCTTCTTGTTGAAAAGAAGTAAAAAAAATAGCTGGCTTGATGCAATATTACATAACCAAACATAAAACTTACAGGGCAATATATTATTGTATCGATTTTTCCCTCTGTTCTCTGGCAGAAGTGCTATGTCGCATGACTGGTTTCGACCCACATCTTTTAAGTCCTGTAAAAAAAATAAAATAAAATGTGCAGTGAAAATAATTAGAGGATGCTACAGCATAGAACATACCCCACATAGGTTATTCAAGGCCAAGGAAAGGAAATTATTTTTATTCAGCTGAAATTAAACAGCTAACAGCATTGGCTGGAGCCAGGAACACTGCTGGCAAACACTAGTCAAGTTCTGGCACACAGCTCTGTCAATGCAACTAAGCTCTCCTGACCTTCAGCATACCCTGCTGGTTCAATGCTGGGCCCCTCAAAAGCTTGCCAGCTGGAATTGCCAGATGAATCTGTAACTTTGGCGCTAAGACAAATGAAGGCTCAGGTGAAACTGGCAAGCTTGTTTTCTCTTGTGTGTATGGGCATATGTAGATGAAACGGGGGCCCTAAATTGAAGTGGTGGGTTTTTAAAAACACTGCTTCAATTTAGGGTGAAGTAAACCCCTGTGTTGCGTACACTTGTGTCTTACCTTCCTCTCCGGCGGTGGGGAGGGGAGGGTGAGCTGCCAGTGGGGAGAAAGGTCCCTGGGCTGCGGAGGGGAGATGGGGGGGGCTGGGTGGTGCTTCCCTCCATGGCAGCAGCAGCGCACCCCCCCAGACAGCACCCACCCACAGGCACCCGGCTCCAGTGATCCCAGGGGGCATCGCAGCCGCAGAGGAGGGAAGGACCAGGTCTCTATGCAGCTCATGCAGGCAGGCAAGCTCCGGGGGGTGGGGAGGTGGGGGAAATGATCAGGCTCACCAATTATTTTTTTTCTTCCCCTTCAATGGAGCCTGCCTTCCCAGGCTGCTGCCAGGCTGACTAAATGGGCTGCCTGCACAGCCCTGAGCCGCATGGAATCCAGTGCTTCACTCTGCAGCTGTAGGGCAGCAAACTAGAACTCCTCATAGGTGTTTTAGTTTGCTGCACCCCAAAGTTATCTAAGGCGCATTACACCAGCAAATGTGCTGGAATTAATACACAATATGCCACCAATGCATGCAAACACCAACACTATTAAAGTGGTGCAAAATCATTTAAATCACTTTAAAGTGTTGTGCACACGTCCCTTGTTTTGTCTACGCACACCCTATAAAACCAGTGAATGCTGGTCTTGGGGTGGAAAGGTTAGGCCACTAACTCAGAGAAGCACTGAAACAGTCCTTTTAGAAATGAAATGGTTTGACTAGATTTGATTCCTACCTCATACTCCTTTGACAAGAGGTAGTTGGAGTCTGCTTGGAGTTTGGTGAAGTGTGCTTCAAACTGATTTACTTTTATTGGGCTAAAGTATTGGGCAGGAGAAAAAAAACAATTACTACAGGAAGGAACAAGGATATAATTTAGTTAATTGATTTTTGTTTTAAATAAATACTTATTTGCTTTTACCTGGAAGTTTTCCGGCTCCTAGAAAGTATTTCAAAAGAAAAATAAACACCTTGTCAGTATGTGACTGGATAGATCATTTCACCCATCACTCCATGTTAAAATAATGTCAAAAAAGTCTTAAAAACAAAACTGTGATGTTACCCTTTTTGCCCCAAGTTTAGGTGGACGGACAACGGCCTGTCCCTGCGAATGCTTGGCCTTGCTGTGGGTCTTTCATGGCTGCTGCTGCAAGATAAAAGAGGTTATTCTCATTTCTGCTGTATGGCTATGTTGAAATGTTGAGGCAAGTTGCCAATAACATTGTCTTACAGTAGGAAACAAAGAGAAAAAGGTAAAAACACATGTCCATTTTGCTTTCTACTTCAGAATGGATCCATGTACTTGCAGAGGTTTCCAAAGTATCTTAATTTGGTGAATATGATATTGTGTGTGTGTGTGTGTGTGTGTGTGTGTGTGTGTGTGTGTGTGTACACCTTTCTAGCAATCTCTTTATTCCTAAATATGAATATATGTATATATTTATCACTTTCAAAACCCTGGCCTGGTTTTGCCATAATATACAGAGCCCAACCTTTTATTAGGAAGGGCATTCTATGGTAATTAATCTTTATAATGACCCTGTGAGGTCAGTATCATCTTCATCTCCATATACAGATGGGAAAACAGGTTACTGATCTAACTCTCAGGAATGCAGGATGCCTATAGCTCCTATTTACTTCAGGTTTTGGGCGCGCCTACCTCCAAAAATGCTAATAGCATTATGTGGAAGATCAGAGCTAGAATCAGTGACAGCACCATGAATAGATTTTGGGAAATTTCTGGAATCCATTCCTGTGTTTGCACCACTAGACCACACTGCTTTTCTGTCCCTGATTATAAGTCAGTTCCCTCAATCTCTCTCATAAGTGAAACAAACATTTATCTATTCTACTTGACATGGATGATTATATTAACATTCACAGATCTATGGAATAAAGTTCATGACAAGAAAACATAACTTATTTGAATTTTTAGACAACCAAGGCGTGCAACACAGAAAACCTGCACTTCATGTAAATTAGTTTATACATACAAATGCATATGTTATCACAAATCCATGTGGTTTCTTATGGGCAGCATTTAAAGAACTGCATTGAATTTGGACTTAAATTTATAGAAGAGGCTGCTAAAAATAATTCCGTACTGGATAAGAACCAGAGCTGGGTAGAAAATGGATTTGTTCTCCCTGGAAAATACTGATATTTAAAAAACAAACAAACAACCCCCCCCCCCCATTCTAATTCAGAACAAAAAATGCTATTTCAAAATGTTCCATGAAATAGAGATTGAAAAACATTTCTGATGCATAAATACCAGATTATTCCATATCAATTTTTGGAATCATCTTGTTCCAAGAATTTAAAAAATGGTGTAAGTTTATTTTTGATGTCAAGTAATACTTCACCATGTAAAAATACATTTTATATTACAAATGTCTAAACTGAATGAAACAAAACAACACATCTAAACAGTCTGAGTTTGTGAAAATGAAATATTTTGATACTTTTGAATCAAAATGAAGTCTAAATTGATTGCTTCAAAATTTTGCTGTCAAACATTTTGCTGAAATGGACATATTTCCACATGACTAACTGGAAAAAAACCTGTATTTTCCAAAAAATTTTCAGCCACCTCTATTATGAACAAAATGCTATACTGTGTCCTTCCTTGATCATGTAGATCCTATTAGCATCAATGGAAATTCTATTTATTAATAACAGACAATACAGATGGAGCTCTTAATATAAGCCTTTTTGGTTCAATACTTCAATAGAAATATTGAACAAATGCTGGCAAAATAGAATTATTTTGCTTTTTCTTTCCCAAATACAATTAACTTAATGTTTTCATCCAATTTTATAACATCTTTCTCACTATGCCTTAGATGAAAAACCAAGCATAAATCTGATCCGACCTTTTGTAATAACAAGGGGAAAAAAAATGGAATCTACTTACCTAACTTTATGTCTGCAGACAAACAAAGCGGTCACAGCCACTAACATCACAATGAGAAACAAAACAGCACTTACACCTTCAACAACTCCAAACATAGGCTCTAAAAGAGACAAAGAAATTCATTGTATCCAAATGAAATGTCACCATCATCAACTAAAGGCAATGAAACAAATGGAAAGGAACTTAAAGAGTGTATGTATGAGTGTGCATGTGTAGGCACACGCATGTATACACATGTACATGCACACACATGCATGCATGCACATTTGGAATGACCAGGCTCCGACCTTAATTATTTATTTTCTCCACATCCTGCACCGTACATTACGTGGGCAAGAAACAGACAGGAAGGGAATAAAGCATTCCATGGGGGCTCTATAGAATCACGGAGAAAGAAACACAGCCAGATTTTCTATTCATTTAAAGCACTCTTGGAATTTACTTTACTGAACAACTGCATATCCCTTTATTCTCCTCAGAACTCATCAAGCTTCAATGGTTCGTTGGAGTTTGAAATTGAGTCTACCGTAGTCTATTGCTCTAGCCATACTCTGCAGCATTCTCTGACACTGGTTTCACTGGGCAACAAAGTCCAATTCATTTTCACATCCAAAAAGTAACTCTTGGCTGGATTAATGCTGCTTAAGTCTTAGTCAATGTTTGGAGAGCATACTGGAGGTGCTATAGTGTCATGTATTGTTTGTATTGCTGCAGTCAAGGGTCACAGCCTGGCTGTTTTTTCAGGTTGTAAAAATGAATTTTATTTCAAAAATATTTGCCCAGAAAGTTTATAATTTAAGGTCCCATTTTCCCATCATCAGAGAAGAGGACCCAAAGAGAGTAAGTCTCCTGATTCTGCACTGCAAGGCCCTCACATAGATTAGAGTTGTGACGATCAGGTCTATCTTCTGTTAATACCATACAGATACCATATAGTCTTAAATCGGTAAAAGGTCAGCAGAGTTTTGATACATCTGCCTGCTACATGCCCTTCCCTGAGATTTCTTGATCCCCTCCACAAAGGGAAAGTTCTGTTAGCCATTTCTGGCCAAATTTTGTTACGTTTTTGTTACTTGAATGGCAGAGAGCAGACCAGAGGTTCTAGCTCTATTATTTTTATGTAAATAGGTGCCATGCAATTAATTCACCCCTTGGTCCTACCAATTTCAAGTTAGTGCCTACAATAGGGAGTTTTGTATTTCAGAAGGAAAAAATCATAGATGAAAGCAGAAGGGTCAAGCTATAGTTTGACCAACAGCTCTTTGTACTAGTTGTTAACTGGGGGTGCCATTAATGCCAAAGAAATGCACTTCAACAAAGTCCTCCACCCCAGACTTAGCACTGTCCATTCTAACACCAATGGATACGATATCCACGTGCCTGGTACAGCAAGGAGAGAATGAGAGAGAAACTAACCTGATTCTGTAGTGATTGGTAAAGAGAAAAAGGTATCTGAAAAGAGCGGTTCGGAGAATTCCTTTAGGTCTTCACTAAAGAGTTGGGTGAAAGCCCGTATGCTGATCCTGGGAAAATGGAAGGGTTATAATATTTAAACTTCATTGGATACTAGACTCAAAAAAGCAGAAAACTAAAAGTTAACACAGAAATAGCAGAATGACACAACAGGCCTCCTTGACAATATTTGCTACAACACGGCTTCTAATTATTGTTACAGTAATACACTTTTTAAAATTCAGCTTTAGCTTCTGTGAAGCCAGTTATACAAGGACTTCACTACCTTCTGCTTGGTAGCACATGGAAAACATGAATGAAAAACTCTTTGGTCCTACTGAAAAAGAGGAAGAGGCATTTGTAAGTGCTAAACCATAGGAAGACTAACATATGGCGAAGTGTTTTATGTACAGGCATATACGCACATCAGCTACCACTGAACAGGAAACAGGAAACCTACAAAAAGGCCAGTGGGTAAAGTAGTTGCCCTAAATAATGCCATGCAGGTGCTTTGAGTTGGGAGCATGTCAGCACCATAGTCTATGGACTGATTTCAGCGTCATGTAGACACAGCAGAACTTGCTTTACATCAGCAAACTGGTCATAATAAAACCGAAAAGTCTGTAACATTCCATTCAAATTCCCTTTTTAATTCCCTGCAACATTTTTTCATAAGAGTATTCCTAGAAAACAAGCTCAAAGGGGTCTCAGATGAAATTACAGCAAATTTATTTAAAAACTCAAACAAATGACTGCAAATAATTGATTTTTCCATTCATGAAGCTACAGAAATTCTGCGGCTTTGGTGACGTAGGACAGAGGCCCCTAGAGAGGCCACACAGCAGAAATTCTTACTCAAGGGCTGTGTCTACACAAGATGCTGACTGTGCAGTCGTTATGTGCAGTCGTGCCGAGGAATGGCTTTTTCGTGATGCTGTCCGCGCAGTAGCTCATGACTACTGTGCAGTAGCGTTGCATCATTCCTCCTGCCATACAACGCTACTGTGGAGTAGTCACGGACTACTGCGCAATCAGCATCTTGTGTAGACACAGCCAAGGTCACTTGTATTCTAAGGATTAGTGGGACCAACTCCCCTTATACCCAGTGAGTATGTGTTTGAAAGGTACTTTAATTTAAATTGCCCAATTCCTCCACAAAGTTTTAGTAGCCCACATTTTGGAGCTAAGCTTGATTGAATAATGGAGATGAAAGCTAGTTTCTACACAAACAGGGATGGGATTTCAGTTAATCTTAAATACAAATATTTATCATCATTTCAATTAAATTAGACAGGATTTGACTGAATCTTACTATTTTAGTCTGAAATATCCCTACCTTCTAGTTGAAGCTTAGGCCTTGATATTGGGACAAATCTCATTGCTTGCTCTTTGAGGTGACTTAAGAGTCATTGGATTCAGTGTTTGGAGTTTCTCTCAGTACAGAGAACTCATAAGGAGCTGTACAAGGGCACTAACAGTAGCAGCTGAAGATCCTGGCTGAGGCTGAAGTTTCTGTTGGTAGCTGCTACAAGTTAAAACAATCTTCAGGATGCTCTAAACTGTACTGTAGGATTGGGCCATTGTAATAGGTTTGCATAAACACTGAATATAAAGACATTGCTTCCTCTGCCACCACTGTTACTGTACCCAGTGATCCTTTGACTTAGCTGCTGATCTGGTTCCATTTGACCTTCTATGGAGAAATTAGCAACTGTAGGAGAGTTCTCAATCAGAGAATGAAAGATAAAAAATCTTGTCATTGCACTGAGTTTTACACATAATGAACTGCAGCATTCACAGGCTGGTGAGGGAACTGTTTATGAGATGGGGCAGAGACAAAGTTTTATAAATTACACAGTAAAACAGAGGACACCGTATAACACAGGTTATTCATCTACAGTAGCTGAAGTACATCAGGCATTGA